AACCTTAGCCCAGACTAAATGATATGTTAGAGAATTTGAAGAGGGAGCAGCAAATATTCAGAACCTTAACCCTAACCTACCCTACCCATAACCTTAACCCTTAACCCCTGAACTCTAAACCCTAAACCCAACCCCAATGCTAATGCTAACCTTAACCCAACACTAACCCAAATCTAACCCTGACCCTAACCCTAAACCCAAACCTTAAAACTTTTGGGTTTTTTAGAGTTTCTTTGGAAATTATTATTTCCTTGAAATCTTGGCAAATGGTTCTTTATTAGCTTCTCTCTCCTCCCTAAACAAGCCCAACAGACCTGAGCCCCCAGCATTTTCGTGTCCAGAAAAATCTCACTTCACTTGAGGCCTCACCATGGAATGGGAAAAGGGTCCATTCAGTGGAGATTTTCTGCTGAGTTTTCATTAAATTTCATGGTAGGATTCCAATTAGTTTTCAGCTGGGGCTCAAAAATCTTCTGTAACTGCTAAAGCCTCAGGGAGATAACACCTCCCTGCTCCCCCAGACCTGGTTCTTGCTGAAAATTTGCTGCATGTGTTCTCATGAAACTGAGAATTTTCAAAATGTGTGGTGCCAACTGTATGTCCTTCTTTTTGCTTTATAACATCAGGTGGGGCTGATGAAATACAGTTGTTGGGGTGGTTCAATGAGGAAAGTCCTGCATGTGTCGGTATTTGGATGAAATTACCTGGATTTTAAAATTTTTTTATTTAAAAGAAAACACTATTTTTCTTATTGACTGTGTATTTTAAAACACCGTAGTGAATGAGGTGGTAAAATCTTTGGGAAGTGTGTGATCTAAATGACTGGCATGTGAGGAAAACAGATTTTCTGTAAAAAAATTAATTTATTTAAATCAACCTGTGCAACCAAAGTCATGCACATCACTGGGAGCCTAATACCCATGAAATCACTGTTCACCACAATCACAACAGCACAGGGCCCTCAAGGCTCCTGATTCCCTGTGCATGTGTAGCATTTCAGGGACAGAATTAGGGATGGGAGAAGAGCAAAACAGCTGAAAAAATCTTGGCTGATTTTCCAGCTTGAGTGGCTTTTCCAGACATGCTAAAATAATGCAAATTTAAATGTCTCCTATTTTGCATCAAGCTGATAACTTTATTGTCAGCTTTCATATTCTTTAATCTTTGATTACTTCTCCTAGGTGCTATTTATTATATCCTAGAGTCCCAAAATCCCAGAATGGTTTATGATGGAAGGAACCTTAAAGTCTATCCAGTGCCACTCTCTGACTTGGGAGGGACAATTTTTGTTAGCCCAGGTTTCTCCAAGCCCCATCCAGCCTGGCCTGGGACATTTCCAGGGATCCAGGGGCAGCTACAGCTTCTGTGGGCACTCTGTGCCAGGGACTCCCCACCCTCACAGGGGAGAATTTCTTCCCAGAATCCCATCTAACCCTGCCCTCTGCCAGTGGGAGGACATTCCCTGTGTCCTGTCACTCCAGGCCCTCATAAATAGTCTCTTGTCCATGTCCATGAGGTTTCTCACAATTCAAGTGTCCAAACATGAGGGGACTGTACCAATTTAGCTCACTGGTATTTTAAACAAAGTTGGTTGAATTAATGTGCCTCTCCATTTATTTCTAATTTAATTGTGGTCTCTAACAGTGGTTAGAGCTTAGTGATGGGTAACTGCAAGAGACAAAATGTCCCAAGAACCACTTCTCTGGGAATTACCCAAGAGAAAAACAGGATTTCTATTCATGAGGTTTAAACAGCATCAAGAAATTGCTTGTTTATTGCAAATCTTGCTTGTAATCTTAGCAGGCCCACTGGAGCTGAAATTCAGACTTTTATCTCTTGGGTGCTTTTTTGTTTTCTTTTTAACCTTTCAGGTTAATATATTTTAAAAACATATAACTCTGAAAAAAAAATCACCTTTTGGGTGTAAAACCTTCCTGATATGAGGGCACTTTTGGAAAGAAGCTCTGATTGCAACAAGTTGAGCTCTGTAAAACAGCTTAAAGAGAGTTTGGGCACCAAAATAACTCTTTTTTCCATCATGAAGCATGGACCCAGCAGAGACTTTAACTCAGCAGCACTACCCACAGTCAGCCAACACCTCAGATAATCACTTGCAAGGCTCTATCCATAAGGGAATTTGATTTTGTCACTGCTTTCCTTGCTAACATCCCCCTCTGCTCCAAAGTTGCTAACCATCATTTCATCTCAGATTGTCAAGCTAATTAATGTAATTAAGTTAAACTCATGCTGCCACCCACAGCTGTAGGTGGCAAAGCCATTTTTAGGGAGTTTGCACCTTTGGTCCCCCACAGCCGAGGCAACATTTGCTAAAATATCATTGGCGTCTTCTCTTGGAGGAGGAAAAGCCAGGGTGAGCTTCTTGTGCTGGAGCTCTGCTGACGGATGACATCTCTTGTGTGCCATTTGCTCTGATTTTGGGCAAAGGAGGCACAACAGGCTCAGGATGAAGGTGATCTGCAGAGGTTTGGTCATCTCTGAGCTTTTCCTGAAATGTCTTGGGGAGGAAAGGGAAGGGCAGGGATGCCCACGAGCTGTGAGGGCCAGAGGCCTTTGGGGATTTGTCGTTCTGATTGGGAACGGCCATAAAGAACGACATAGACTCTCTAGGAGTCACAACAGGAGAATCTCTCTAGTTTATTGCTCTAGGCTTGTCTTATAGACAGATACGTGGAAAGTACAGAAAGGAAACTCTTATTGGTTAGCAAAGTGCTACATCACCATCATTGGTCAGTAGGGCACACTACCCCCCTAACTCTCTCCTGCAAGGAAAACAAGAGGACAGACAAACAGCACCTGGCAGTTGTTTTCTGTCTCTGAGGATTGTTTTGAAATCCTCCTATGAAGTTCTCAGGCTAGCTTCTCAGGCAGGACTGAGAGGCCATGGGCCTGCAGTTTCTGCAGCTCCCTGCAGCCTGCTCCAAAGCTAGCATCCATAGGGATTGGGTGCCTGTAGCCCCTTTCAGCTGGGGAAGGCACAGGGACATCACCTTGACTCAGCCTCGTCCAGAAGAGGACACTGCTTTAATCCTCTTCCCGTGAGGGAATGGACAACATGGATATCAGGATGCTTTACTGCAGGGACGCCAGGATGCATGGGAAACTGGAGTTTTGGGGACAGGAATCTTGTTAAAGTGGTGTGATCTTTGTGTCAAGAGCAGGTGGGGGACCAGGTAATGGAGAACTCAGTGTTCCCCAGTTTTCTTTCACTGGTGTTTAACCTATAAAAATGCTCTCATCTCCAGCTGTATAGTTTGGTATAAAATGGGAAAAAGGAAGTTTAACAGCCTTCTGCAGTTTCTGTTGCCTTCCCATCTGTCAAAGCTTTCTTTTATATGGAGCTTTCTGGCTTCTATGAGTCACTGGGGAGGCTCTGCCTTGATTTATGTTGCAGTGTCATAAAGCAAGGTGTGCTCAATCCAATGCTAATAAAAGCTAATGATACAAGTAGAACAATAAAAGGTGGGACAATGCTAATGTTATACCTTTCTGAGAGCATAGAAATAAACCTTTGTCAAGTTTTCTACCTCTCGGTGTGGGTGTTCCCCCAACATCTCAAGGTTACATTTACATATTTTAAAGGGTTTGGTATTTGTGCTGAATTCCTCACCATAGAGGACAATAGTGGTGTATGTGTGTTTTTTAATCACTGATTGATTTGTTCTCTATGAAACTTTTCAGTTGTTTTAGCCACAACGAAAACCCTCACTTCCATGGAAATCATTCCTGGGTTTTGGTAGCTGAAAATCTGGTCATCTTCCTGATTTTAGGAGTTAAAACCAAAATGCTGTGCTTTCTCCACAGGAGAATGAGGCAAGGAAGTTCCATCCTACATCTGGGAGTAATTCCCAGCTTCTGCCTGTTGGTACAGTGCTGCACAGACATCCTTCACTTATTGGGTCTGGCAGGGGAGAAGCTTAGCAGAATTTCAGGTGTCAAGCACAATTAGGTGTTAATTAAAATGATCCATTTGCTTGTCCCCCAAGGTCCCCTGCTCCAGTTCAATGACAACATGCAATAAAAATATCGGGGCACGTTTATTTTCCAGCTGTCCCTGTGACAGGGCAAGTGACAAATATCCTGTGACAGAGGGGGAGGGAAATCTTGTGAGTCCCCCTCTACTAATTCACTTTTTCTTGGGTATCTTGTCCTGGGTGCTGGGAGATTCTGCTGGAAGGGGTTCACAATATACAGAATCCTTGAAAACTCAGCATTACACACATAGTATCTAACTGCCATGTAATTAGGCTGATTCTTCATTACCCCCACAGTAGGGAAATTTTGGACTCTGTTGCTTTTCAGAATGAACCAATGCTTGGCTTCTTGTCTTATTTTTTGCTTTCATTCTTTTCCTTAAGGTTTAAAAACTTTAAAAAAATATTTTACACCCTCTAAACATTTAAAATACATGAGTATTTTTCTCCTGAGTTGCTAAGCATTGCCATTTGAAATATTTCTTTCCTATATTTCGATTTTTCTTATCTTCTGGGGCATAAATTCTGATATATTTGCACAGCATAAAATCCCACTGTGCCCTCAACCAATATGAATGCAAGGTATGACTTGTATTTAGGAGTAGGAAGTGATCAGTTCCTGCCCAAAGCCATAGGAGAAATATTCTTATCTTTCCCACTGGGATTCAAAGCCCAGGAGCAGAACAACAACCATGTGACGTATGTGAATAATCATAACTTGCTGCTCCAGCTGGAGGGTGGATTGCTCAGTACTGATGGGTGACAGTGTTTTGTCTTTGGGTAAAAAAAAAGGAGAAAAAGTTGTAAACGAAGGGAAAATAAAGGAAAAGAAAAAATGTTAAAGAAAGTAGAGTTTGATCTGGTCTAAATCTGCTTGGTGATATTACAAGCTGAATATTAAGCTAAATTCAGCACAATAACATATGTTCATCCAGTTTTTTTTGTGGGATGGGAGTAGTGGAAGAATGGGAATGACACAATAAGTTTTGCATTACTCCTCTCTTTTTATTTTGTCTCCTAAACTCTGTATGTCTCATTTTCTTCCACTTTGAACACTCCCTTCCAATGTCCCACTCCTTTTCTCACACTGGCAGCTTAGTATTCTCTAGAAGTTTGCTTTCCAGTCCTACCCTGCTTCCACCTCCTCTTGGCCTGTGTCTCACTGGATGATTCACCCACTTCTGCTGTGGCATGTTCTCCCTGCATCCGGATGCATCTCACTTTGCATCTCCAGCTCTAATTCTTGTCACAGCTGATCCATCAGCATTAATTCAAGGCCATAAATTAATTACAGATTCATTTTGCTCTCAGCTGGCTCTCCTCTACTTTGCGTCCCTGGGTCCTTCCTCTCCAGCCACACCGGAGACTTGGCTTGTGAGGTTCCTGTGTCCTTCACCCCATCCTTCTCCCTTTGTACTCTCATTTCCACTGGGATTTCTCCATTCTCAACTACCCATTCCTGATCTAAACCTTCTCCATGACTTTTTATGAGTTTTGTGTCAAATAGAGAATTTATTTGGAGTAGAAATTCAACTCCTGTTGGCACAGCAAATAAAATGGAGAGTATTGAATCCCAGCAGATGGGAGAAGATGTCATGGCAGTGCAAGACAGGCTAAAAACTTTTGGGGGGAATGACTTAGACATTCAGAACTGTGACAAAGCTGAAGCAATTGATGCCATTGTAGGTCCCAATCCTGTGGATTTTGGAGCTGATGAGATTTGCTGTTTCAAAGTTGTAGTGTTACAGGCAAATCAAATGTCAGAGAAAGGGAAGCTTGGAATTTTTGCGTAGGAAATTAAAGGGGGAGGAAGAGTTGCCAGGGAGGATGTTGTGGTGCTCCTTTCCACCTGGGAATGCAGTTTTGCACCAGGTTTACAGGATGTGAGATGGAATGCATCACAAATAAGCGAATTTTCCTTGCTGTCAGCCTGGTGTTGAAGTGGTCAATGCTGGCAAAAGAGAAGACAGAAAAAAATTATCAAGTGTTAATTAGGCCTGCTTTGTTTAGCCAAAAATATCTGAAATGTTAAAAGAGACTGAAGAGAGACAGGAAGTCAAATCCATGATGGAAGATGGGTGTCAGGGTGCTTCTGTATGAAATCTGTTTTTCTTTTGTATTCAACAAAACAGATGATTTTACGAGAGTGTTTGAAAAGTGGAAAGGATGGACCAAATGATCTGCCCCTGGATTTCTGGAAGTATCCAAGGCTAGGCTGGACAGGGCTTGGAGCAACCTGGGCTAGTGAAAAGTGTCCCTGCCCATGGCAAAGGGTGACACTGGATGGGCTTTAAGGTCTCTTCCAACCCAAACCATTCTGGGATTTTATGATTGGTGAACAAAGATAATCTCTAAAATTATTCACTAATAAGGTATCAGGGCAAATTAATAAGCAAGACAAGTCTGATATCCTGTCAAAAAATATCTTACGTGAACAACTGTTCACCAAATATTTACTGCTGGGAACAAATAACAAGGTAAAAGATGGTCAAAAGCCACCAAAATAAATTTAAATTAGTTTTGTAGGAGAAAAATTTAGTGTCTGATGCTTAGGAACAAACACTGATGAAGGAGGAAACGCTTGAAAATCTTTATGAAAATCAGTTCGGTATGAAATTGCCTTCTTTGGAGCGTCTCTCATCTGTGTGTTTGTGTTAGGATTAAAATTTTTCCTTTTTTCTTTCTTTTTTTTTTTTTTTTTTTTTTTTTTTTTTTTTTTTTTTTTGATCAATCATAAGATGTAAGAACAACCACATCAGCAGTTTTGTCAGCAGAGAACTGAAGAAAATATTCAAACATGTACTTAGCCTCAGCCTCGATGATATTTGAGGGTAGTTAAAAAGGCTTTTCAGGGAGAAATCCGATGCAATTAACCAGCTTCCGATCTGCCTTATCAGCAAATCACATATTTGTGTGTGGAGACAAATGCTGACACACAGCTCTGGAAGTTTACTGAGTTTACTGCTAGACTGAACTAAAGAGATTAAAAAGGCGTTTGAGGCAGAATCTGCAAAATGAGCCTGTTGATGAAAAAGAATGAGTTCACTCTCACGTTTCATCAAACAGATGAAGGTGTAGAGATCTACAAGGGAGATGGTGAAGGACAGTTTACAAGGGCCTGGAGTGACAGGAGAAGGGGGAATGACTTCCCACTGCCAGAGGGCAGGGTGAGATGGGATATTAGGAAGGAATTATTCCCTGTGAGGGTGGGGAGGCCCTGGCACAGGGTGCCCACAGAAGCTGTGGTGGCCCCTGGACCCCTGGAAGTGTCCAAGGCCAGATGGCCTTGGTTAGATGGGGCGGGGAGCAACCTGGGAATGTGGAAGGTGTCCCTGCCCATGGCTGGGAATTGGAATGATGATTTTAAAGTTCCCTTCCAACACCAAACATTCTGGAATCCCCTGATTCTGTGATCCAACAGAGGTGGTTCACTGGTACCACAGGATCCATTCCTGCTTTCAGGGAATATTTAAGAGTTACTTTTTTGATAACAGTGGTTCTAATTTAATTTTTGATGATTTCTTTATTTATTTTAACTCTTCAGACAGCTGTGCAGGCAATCCTGCTTCCGGACACTATCCTGGGCTGGGTACTTCAGGTTCCTCCAGACCCATCACCCCAGAAGGCATAAAATCCTTTATACTTCCTGTGAGCCTTGGACAGCAAAGTTGTCTTTCTTTGCCTCAGTGACACTTGAGACTGTTGTCACAAATTAATTAAAGGTGTGACATGAACACATTAATTAAACGCCATGAACACCTGCATGGATCCTCTCAGTCATAACTCATATCCTGTTAAATTGCTTTTGCATAATAACAGACATACTTTGGGACTGAGCAGAACTGAAAAGGGCCCTCCTGAAAGCAGACAGGAAAAAGCCCCTCCCTTGCAGGGGCTTTGGCTTGGCCATGGCCTTGGAACGGGGCCCAACCTCATAAAAAACCTATGAGAATGTTTTAAGCACACTTGGGACAAGATAATTTCAAATGAAGGTGACACTTGTGGTCTGAGGCAGCAGTGAAACACCATGATTTGGAGAGGACTCTGCTTGGGGACTGAAGATTTAGTGGCCTGTCAAGCTCAAAGTCAACACAGCAGAATTTAATGCTGTGTAAATGGGAGCCAAAGACAAAGCCCTTGTGAATCCACGGGATAGATATGCACCTGTCCCACAGCTGCCCTCTCCAGCATCAGGGCTTTGCTCAGAAATAACCATTATTCCTAGAAAAAAGAAAACACTATTGATTTTCAGTCCTCACTGAAGCTTTCTGAAGTATTTTTTACGTGAGAGAAAGCCTTTGCAGTTTTTAAATTAAAATTTCCTCTCTATTTTTTTCCCCCCGTTAAAAATCTGGTCAGGTGAACTTGTGAGCACGGCCAGAATTGGATGCATTTGAGACTGATCCTTGAAGGAAGGAGTAAGTAAGAAATGTCTAATCCATGCCACACAAAGATGTGCAGGACCCCAAACAGCTGGAATGTCTCTGACAGTCAGTGACACTTCTCCTCATGAGCTGCTTTGCTTTTTTTTTACTGAGCTCCCTCTCATGGAGTGCTTTGGCTACCTTTAACTGCATGTTGTGATTTCACCTGGCAGCTTTCAGCGCTCCCCAGCAGCTGAAGGATGTGGATAAAACATGAGAAACACTGTAAGAAAACAAAGCTGTCTCTTGTAATATTTGAGAGCATTTTTAAAGTGAAGTTTCTGTGACACTTCAGTGCAGCAGCGCTTGGTGAAAGTGGAGAGGTGTTTTATTTATGAGTTTCAATGAAGTTGAGGTTGCTTCTTCCTCTTTCGTATAAACCAGACAGTCTTAGGAGTAAATAACATCCCATGCTGGGGAAGTGCAAGATAAATGCCTCTTCAAACTAAGGTGTTCATCCTAGTATGGATTTTTTACCAATTTTTTAACATGTGGGATGCATATCCTCTATTTCATTTCAGACAGACTTCTCTCTTGCACCTGTCTTTCATTTTAGTGATATCCTATTTTCCCCAGTTTCACATCCATGTAGTGTTTGTCTGAAAAGGCTGTGTTCACATTAGCTCAAAGCATGTTGACTTTATTCCTGGTCTTTTGCTACACAAAACTTGTTAAACTCTCCTGCAAACACACTAATTATCACTGAATGTAACTATTTTTAAATCAGATGTCATTTATTCTGATTTTGTTTTGATCAGGAAAGGATTTCAACAAATTTCTTGTTGGATTGATTTCAAACTTATTTTTGAAAAACTTTAATCAAAAATTAATTCTTGATGAAAAAAACAAATAACTAAGCAAGCTAAATGCTTGTGGAGTTTAAACAGTCGCAGCAGTTCTCAGGGCTGAGAATACTTACCTTGTCCCCAGGTTTTCCTCCTTTGTTTTTCCTACAGAAAATAAAGGAAAAGAGAGAAGAGTTGAAATAACAAGCCTAAGTGCATATTTGTTGATACTTCAATTTTCTTGCTATGCTACCAAAAAAGAAAAAGAAAAAGAAAAAAAAAAAAAGAAAAAAAAAAAAAAAAAAAAAAAAAGAGGAAAAAAAGACTCTTATGGAATCTTGTGGCAAGAATCCCTTTAAAATGAAGCTAAATTAAGTTGTTTGAAATGTGACCTTTGGCAAAATGTTTCAGTTATTGTCATCCCCTTTCCATTCCCTCACCTCCATGCTGCTCCCATTTGTAGAGCACACCTGATTCAGAGCATCTGCCTCTAAACATGATGAAGTTGTTATGGAGAGAACGGCTAGAGAATATTTCTGTGGAAAAGTGGAATCCCTCATTTGTTTGATGGAGGCTGCAAGGTGTCTGTACTACAGAGCTGAACCCCAGCACAGCCAGTTTGCTGGATCTTTTGGGAGTTTAAGGGATGACAAACCCAGGAGCCGCTGGGCCAGAGATTGCCATGGACACTGCAGGGAGAGTGGGAGGATGAAAGCTAGACCAGGGGCAGAGAGATAAAGAGAGACAGCAGGAAGCATTTAAAGAGCTTCAGAAACTTATGAGGTAGAAGGTTTTAGAAGTAGGAGCCTTCCCTGGGAAGGCTGCTGCTTAATTTGGGATCTGTTGGGATAGTTACAGCAAAAATGCTGGGGTATTTGGCTGGTTTGGAGGGGAGTGTCTCCATGGCAGTGTTTTTCTGTCTGACTGGTTACAGAAACAGGAGAGAACCGAGGAACTCTGGTTTTTGTGCCAAGCTCACCTTGATGCTTTGGAAATTTACACTCAGAGGCAAAGCTGAAGTAGACCCAGAGGATCACCTTGTTTTTGGGGCTGCATTAGTGGTCATGTACATCTGTGCTCATGAGTCACTTTGCTGCTGAGGGTGACTCAGGAAGAATCCAGGTTCTTCTTTCTCTGGACACCCAGAGAAAGCAAAGCCAGGGGCGAGTTAGACTAGTTTGTATTCCAGATCTATTTCCCAGCCTGCACCCCTGACATCTGAGCAACCTCAACTCACTGAGGAGAAAAGCTCAAAGCTTTGGAAAGAAAGGGTGTAATGAATGTTTTCCAAAAGCAGGGACAGCAGGGAGCACAGCTCTGCAGAAGGGCTGAATCCACCTGAGTGGGTTCATTCTCTGTGTTTTGTGTGATGAATGAATGAGCTCTTCCTCTTTCATAGATCACTTCAATGCCTCTCATCTTTCTCTTTCTACCCAAAGAGAAAAAATCTCCAAGACCAACTTTATAGAGTTTGGTAACACTCACAAACTTTTATCTTTCCTAGAATCAGGAGGAAACAGAAGTCTGAAATTTCTTTACAAATGTATTTGAAGAACTTGTTTTTAATCTTTCTGTCTTCCCAAGTTTTATAAATAGACCCATATTATCAATGTTGTGGTTTTTTTTCAGAAAGGAAACTTCCCATTGTTGCTATGCATTCCTAGCTAAGCTCTGTCTATTCTTACCCTATATATTGTCTTCCACAGAAGTTTGAAAAGTTTTGGAGCTCTGACTTCATTCTCAATATGTCCTTTCCCAGTACTGTGGTGGCACAAGAGGAAATTTCTATGCTCAAAACAGACTCAAAGCAACTCAAAGCTGTCCAGACTGCAGAGAGGCTCTGGTAGCCAAATCATCTGGTGCCTATGGGGGTATTCTGACTCAGGGTGGACCTACAGGGTTATGATTTGGAACACACAGGTCCCAGTCCTGCAGTCTTAAATGCAGAGTGCAGTCAGAGCCCCCCAGTAGAGTCAATTCATATAAGCTTAGGAAAGTCTAAGCCTGTTACACTGATGCCATCTATTTTTATTTGTTTGTTTCCCTTGTATATCCATTTCATTTATTTTTCACAAAGTGATTCCTCTATCTGTTTGTCTGAGATATCACATTTCTGCTAAGTCCAATTATTTGTGTGCATTTCTTTTTCTGCCATAGTTCTGTCCTCCCTGGTTTTGATCTCTTGCAGGAGTACACACTTTTATTCCTCTCCTCTCTGGGAAAAAACTGTGCCTTAGAGCCACCAGACAGTAATTATGTGCATAGTGTACCATTTTTTCTTGCATTTAGAGTAGTTGCAGTGGTAAATAATATTTTATTTCTCTTTAGTATTCAGGGAGCAGAGAGGATGAGCCTGGCGTGACTGTCCCTGGGCGATGGCAGATCAGACCACAGACATGAGGCTTCTTAACATTTCATTCCAGTGCCCTGTTAACCCCGGGAGCCAGCAGCAAACCCAAAGATCTTTGCCAAACTCCAATCTCTCTGTTCCTCCTGGACAGCACCTCACTGGTAAATGAAAGTATTTCCGAGTCCAGAGTGGGTCTGTGACATGAATAAAGCCAACACATCTGCCCTCTGAGCTCAGAGTCCAAGTGAATGCATGAGTTTGCAATTTCATGTTTGAAGTAGTTAAAATGGGTGAAAACAGCCAAGCTCCAATTACATTTCAGACAAAAAGCCTGATTAAGCTCTGTGTTTTCTGCTGCAGTAAAACATGTGAAATACAAAAATTCCCAAGAGGCAGGAAGCACAAAAATGCTGCCTCTTATTTATTTGCTTGATGTGACGGCACAATTTAGAGAGGGCTGTGCTGAGCCAGGGTGGAACAAAAGCTTTGTCCCCCTACCCTACTCTTCAGTGCATCTTCCCATCTCTGTTAGGGATTTCATAATGGACCTGGAGATAATTTCAAGCTCCTGTTGATCCGAGATGAGTCAGACAAGCCAGCGCGATGATGAAGCAGGCAGTGAATTCCAGCATGCGAGGGAGAAGATGAGAATTTGCTCATGCAGAGATATTCCCCAATCCCAGCAAACATGGAAATCTGGAGTTTGTTTTTCACAGGCCTTTGTGCAGCAAAAATAAACAATCACTTCCATTTACACCCCATGTCAGGGTGAGCTTTGTCTCACACTACTAAAATACCAGATGGCTGACATTAAAACCCTGAAATCTGCTGTGGCAAATCTTTGCTGCTCCAATTAATATTTTTCCATTACTGTAAAACAAGAGGTTAATTGTTAAAATTACATGAACAATACTGGCAGCAAATGTTTGTTGCCCAGAGAAGCTGTGGCTACCCCTGGATGCCGAGACATGTCCAAGACCAGGTTGGATAGGGCTTGGAGCAGCCTGGGACAGTGGTAGGTGTCTCTGCCCATGGCAGGGGATTTGAGCTGGATGAGCCTTAAGGCCCCTTCCAACCCAGGCCATTCCAAGATTCTGTGATACTGTGATTTGTTAGCTTTGTGGTCATGGTTGTTTCCACACTTCCCTACAAGAAAACTTTGTCAGCATTTATTTACTCTTCACCTCCCCTGTCATGTGTTTATCTTGCTACAACATCCTTTGCTGTCTTAGTGCCCTGGCTTTTTGTGCAGCCACGTGAGGTTTCATGCAGCAAAAAGTGAGGTTTTTCACTTCTCACACCACCTCCCTCCTTCTCTCTACTCTATTTTAGTGCAAACTCTATGTTGCAAGGAGGAAAAAGAATTTAGTAGAAAATTTGTTTTTTTGTTTTCAAAGACAGACACCAAAAGCTTTATAAAGCAATCAGAAAGGAATGAAAGGACAGTCTAGCTTTGGAGAAGCTTTATTACACTGGGGAAAAACCCTGCCTTATGCAATTTTCTGTGGAATGATCCCATGCTGTCCAATTTGCCGGCTAACATTTTAATTGGATAATCCTACAAATGCTAAAGAACTGATCTGACTGCTCAAATAGGTTGAGTGAAATATGGGAGCGGTGTGGAGGTCTCTTGGTCTGACAGCTGGGAAGTGAAGGAAAACTTCTCTCTGCATGTCTTTAGCTGGTTTTCCTATGATTGGCTATGGCCTTTTCATGCCTCTTGACCACTGAAGGTCTAAGAGGTGGTGAAGCCACTGAAGGAGGTGGCTTTTCCTGCCCTCTTTAGAGATTCCTCCTAGGATAAAGTCCAGATTACTGTGTTAGGTAGGAAAAAAGTGAAGCTTCCCTAAGTTCAATGCCTGCTGAAGAACGGCAAGAAACGGAGTATCTGACCTACTCTGCTTGGGTTTGACCATAAAATAGTTTCATTTCAAAACCTTAGAAGAAAATAGATGAATTAGAAATATTTTTACCTTTCTAGACCTTTTACCTGATACTTGATTTATCAAAGAGTCATAGAATGGCCTGGGTTAGAAGAGATATTAAAGCCCATTCAGTTCCACCCCCTGCCATGGACAGGGACACCTTTCCAGGCTGCTCCAAGTCCCATCCAGCCTGGCCTTGGACACTGCCAGGGATCCAGGGACAGCCACAGCTTCTCTGGGTACCCTGTGCCAGAGTTTCACCACCCTGACAGAGAACAATTCCTTCCCAATATCCCATCTAACCCTGCCCTGTGGCAGTGGGAAGCCATTCCCCCTTGTCCCGTTACTCCAGGCCCTTGTCCTGCCACTCCATTTTTCCTGTTTGCTTCTTCTGGAAAGGAACAATTAGATCACCCTGAAGCTTCTTCTCTCCAGGCTGAATAATCCCAATTCTCTAAGACAGATTGAATCCTGTGGTGCAACACCAATCCCCAAAACTGCTGCTGAAATCTGCTGGTGGATACATGATTTTTTTTGATTCTGCTCCATTGTAGTTGCACTTCTAAAAATGAACCAAATAATTCAATGTTGCTAATTGAGAAGAAAAACACATTATAATCTTGGGTGTATACATATGTACATATACACATACAATGTGCCAGCTGGGAATACACTCTCAGCTCTGGATGAACCTATGGACAAAAAGCCACATATGGGCTACTGGATTCACCATCCTCTGCTGCATCTGGCTGCTCCCCTTTTGGGGAGGAACATCAATAAACAATCAATAAAAAGCAGCCTTTTGTATGTTAACCCCCACCCATCAGTCTTGCTCAAGGTTAAGACTGAATTCCTTTACTTGGAATATTCAGTGGGGTTTGCTGGATCTG